TTTTCAAGCAAAGATAATAAAACTTAGTTATTAAAATTAAATTAATCTTAATTCTAAGAAAGAGACTATATAGTCATACTTAAGTTTTTGGTCAGAAATGTATATTTCCAAAAAAAAAATTTTTTTTTAAAGATTTTATTCATTTGTTTGAGACAGAGAGACAGAGAAAGAATGCACGCAAGAATGAGGCAGACACTTAACTGACTGAGCCACCCAGGCGCCCCTCAAAAAAATTGTAAAGGACAAATTCTTGCAAATAAAAACCTTAATTTTTCAACTACATATTATTGCTTGAATACTTTGTTTACATTTTGGTAAATTCACCAGGTTATCTTTCTTATTTTAAGCTCTAATATTCTGTCCCAGCCTCCCTTTCAGGTAAGCAAGATATAATCCATTAAACAAAAAACAAACAAAATAGTTTAAAAAGTACAGAATACCTCTAACATTTCTCCATCATTTTTCTTAAAAGCATAGCTTATAAATAACTACAATGAAAGTAAAAGTGTACAACTCAGGAAAGGCAGAAAACTTTGTTTTTTACCCAATTAAAAATTCACAATAGAGAGAATAGCTCACTTCCTCCGTACTCTATTCCTTATTTTTTAACAGCCTACTGACAGCTAAAGAAACTTCAGGAGAAGTGCTTTTGTGATGAATCACTAATCACAGCCCAACTTTAATGGTTTTCTAAGTGGGCAAAAAAAAAAGGGTATCTCAAGGAGAGGCTGACCATACTCACTCAGTACCCCAAATCAAACGATTTCTCCTTTTGAAGAAGCTCTAGTCATACATCTGCCATATAACAGTAGACAAATTCAAGAGTTAACTAGATTTGCAAGTATGTCCTGAATCTGATACTTCGACAGACATTCCAGGAAACTGACATATACCAACAGTTGAGAAGCATTATATGATACTATACATTGTAATATGTACTATTAAAATTAATGAGTCATCATCAAAAGTAGAATTTCTGGGGGTGCCTGGGAGGCTCAGTCGTTAAGCGTCTGCCTTCGGCTCAGGTCATGATCCCAGGGTCCTGGGATCTAGCCCCGCATCAGGCTCCCTGCTCAGCCCGGGGCCTGCTTCTCCCTCTCCCACTCCCCCTGCTTGTGTTCCCTCTCTAGCTGTCTCTCTGTCAAATAAATAATAAAGTCTTAAAAAAAAAAAAAAAAAGGTAGAACTTCTGGAATGGTGGTTTGAGGACTCTCCCCAGTGAAACGAACATTTAGCTGGGGAAAATTATTAAAAAAAAAAAAAAATCATTAAAAAGCATACATCAGGGGACGCCTGGGTGGCTCAGTCGGTTAAGTGTCTGCCTTCAGCTCAGGTCATGATCCCAGGGTCCTGGGATCGAGTCCCGCATCGGGCTCCCTGCTCCGCGGGGAGCCTGCTTCTCCCTCTGTCTCTGCCTCTCTCTATCTCTCATGAATAAATAAATAAAATCTTTAAAAAAAAAAAAAGCATACATCAGTGAATAAACATTTATTCAAGAAAATCTACTAAATCTCAGAGCTGAGTCTGGCATTTGAGTCACAATTTGCTCTCATTCCCTACTCCCCCAAGTTCAATGTGGTGAAAGCTTTACTCCACATGAGTATGGCCAAGAAGATGGAACACTCTCCAAGCAACCCACTTAAATCAGCTATTTTAAATATGTGCAGGAACTAAAAAACCAAATCTAAAGAAATAAGTATGGGAACACTGTCTCCACAAAAAGAAAATATCATTAAACAGAGAATTTATAGATAAGAATCAAATAGGGAAATTCTTAACTTGAAATGTACAATAACTGAAATATAAAATTAACTGAAAGCCCACAACAGGAGATTTGAGAAGGTGGAAGAATCAATGATTTGAAATGGGTCACCTGAAATTATCTAGTCTGAGTAACAGAAAGAAAAAGAATGAAGAAAAATGAACTCAGATACCTGTGGGACACCATCACATGTAACAAGAGGCATGTAATGGGAGTCCCAGAAGGAGAGGTGAGAAAGGAAAAGAGAGATCATTTGAAGAAATAATGGCTGAGAACTTCCCAAATTTGATAAAAGTAATATACCATGGAAAAGCAACCAGAATAAAAATGGACTGCCAAACAAAAAAGACTTCAAAACAAAAAAAATTACTAGAGAAAAAGAGTGACATTTCATCATAATAAAAGAACCAAACAATTATAAAGATATCTGCACTTAACAGAAAGCCCCAAAATATATGAAACAAAAACTGAAAGAATTAAAGGGAGAAACAGACAACTAAGTGACAATAACTGGGAGACTTCAAAACCTAACTCTTAATAATGGATAACTCAGGGCGCCTGG